GGACCCTAAGCGAGGGTTAGCCACACATGCATGGAGTGTCAGAGCCCGGACAGAGCCCGGACAGGCTTGCAGGGGACAAACTGGGTGCAAGGATCAGAGCAGGAACCAAGGAAGGAGGCATCTGCACGTGAGGAGGGGATGGCAGTAGAAATAGGAGGCTGGTTACAGACATGAATTGGTCCAATAAAGGAAATCTATCATAAATCATGGGAGCTAGATAGTTTTCACTGTTGGTCAAGGGAGTTACAATTGAAAAAGTGAAAACTGCAGTGAAACCTATGGTGGCTTGAAAATGAAAATGTCCTTGTGAAGTCACGACTATTAGTATATACAACACACACACACCTGCACACACATGCACACACAGGCATGCACACATACACACATATATAATGTAGATGTAAATGTGTGTAGGCCTCACCCTGGTGCAGTGACGCCCAACACCTAATGCCTAGATCGTGCCTCTAAATGCTGTTTACAAAAAAAAAAAAAAAAAAAAGACAGAAGAGCTTTGGTTCTTAAAAGAGACCAGGCAAATCTTTCCCAAGCCAGGGATGCAACACCATTTTTGATGCTGTGCAGTGTCTGACATTTGTAAGTTTCTGGATGTTACTGCATTGTTCAGTGCCTGCAGAGGAAATAGCTTGTGATATGCCTCATTCAGCCAAAGACTTGCAGCAAGTTGTCACCTGTGATGGNAAAAAAAAAAAAAAAAAAATCAGGGTTCCTGATTCTCTTACCAAAGAGGGCTGCTTTTAGGTTTAGGGCTGGAGTGGGGAGGAATAAGATCAACCAGAAAGATCTTGTTCCACCAGAAAGCAAGAAAGGGCTCCAAGGATGGTGGGAATGTATCAAGAGGACACACAGACCAGCTTGAAGAGGTACCCACTGGACAAATCCGAGACAATGTGAGCATCAAAATAAATAGCGGTGGTGGCCAGGTGCAGTGGCTCACACCTGTAATCCTGGCACTTTGGGAGGTCGAGGCAGGCAGATTGCCCGAGCTCAAGAGTTCAAGGCGAGCCTGGGCAACACAGTGAAACCCCATTTCTACTAAAATACTTAAAAAAAATTAGCCAGGAGTGGTGGCATGTGCCTGTAGTCCCAGCTACTTGGGAGGCTGAGGCAGGAGAATTGCTTGAACCTGGGAGGAGGAGGTTGCAGTGAGCCGAGATTGTGCCACTGCACTCCAGCCTGGGTGACACAGCAAGACTCTGTCTTTAAAAAAAAAAAATAGCAATGGTAATGGTGTATAATCTATTGAATAAAATGGGAAAATACAAGACTGTATAGATATAAATAAATAAATAAATACATTGAAACAACATATATGCCTAATTTCAAAGTGCCTTTCTACAAAATGTCTTAATTATAAAGAGGAAAAGAGTAATTTCTAGGTGAAAGAGTTGTATGGACATAGCCATAATAGAAGTGAACACCGTAGGTATAAAGACAGAGAAGCAATGGAGCCTGGATTGCACTCCAGGAGGACGCACCCACCATCACTCTGATTCTTGCCAAAGATGCAGAGCCTGAATCTATTCATGAGGAAGCATCAACTCAACTCAAGTTGAAAGACATGTTACTAAATAATGGTCCTTCCATCTTTAAAAGTATTACGACCATAGGGCCAAAGAACCAAAAGTGGATTGTTCCATCCTGTAGAAGACCAAAGAGATGGGGGAACACATTGCCATGTGTCATTCCATGCTTCTGAGCTGGGTTCTTTTGTGATGAAAGACATTATTGGGAAAGCTAGAGGAACTTGAAGGGGGTCCAGGCATCACATGGCAGTCCCAGCGCAATGTGGACTTCCCGGTGTTGGCAGGTGTCCTGTGGTTACATAGGAGAAGGGTACCATTGGAAATACACACTAAAGCATTGGGGTGATGGGGTATCAGATTGGCAACTTATCTTTAAACGGTTTAGAAAAAAATAATTCCCTGTACTCTATTTGCAACTTATTGGTAAGTCTGTTATTGTTTCAAAATAAAAGTTACAAAGTATATTAGTGATTACACCTCAGGTTGAAAATTAAGGAATACCATCCATAATTTTCAGTTATTAACTAAATTTCTTTAATTAGGCGATATATCATAGCCTGAGAATGCCTCCTACTTCAAGGGAAATGCTGGAAAAATGAATTTCCTGAAGACAATGAACTCTCTGATGCAGTAGGGAAGGAGTTTATGGATTTATCTTAAGTGGATATTTTGATTAACAGATACGTTCTATGTGCTATCCATAGATTGCCGATGTTCAAAGGAATAAAATGAAACAATAACTTCTTAATATGGATCTATACTGAACAGAATGCACCCTCCTTTAATGGCTTTGAAGGCAGGGTGATGCTGACTATCATCTATGGGCAACCTCTTTCTTCATATCAGGCCAGTATCCTTTATTTTACATAGTGTTGCATTAAACAATTACACTACAGCAATACAACCACCAAATTTGTAAAATTCTAATTTATATACAGCATGTGTAAAAAGAATTCAATAAAGTGTTTTTCTAGAACCTCAAACCAGTGCTATTTTTAGATTATATTTCCAACAGTGGCCACGGGTACTGAAAGCTCCTTTCTTCATTACTGTGACGTTTACCTACAAATCTCCCATTTTAAATCTCTTCACATGTTCCACCTTTCCCAGCTCTTGGAGTTACTATGAAACTGTCTCTGAAAAAAATGGGAAATGGACTTCATCTTATTCTGTTCTCTTGGGCCTTATTCCTTTATAAAATATTATGGAGTGAAGCGTTTTTATTATTTGCGCAACTCTAGAATTATCCCATTTCTGGCTGTTTGCTGATAAGGAATATTTTTCTTTGTCAGTTTTTGAAATGGAGTAAATAAAAATTTAAGATTCCATCTTTCCCCCTTTTTTTTTTTTACCAAGGCAGGAAAATAAAAAATGCTTTAAAAAAACAACTCAATAAAGAATATAGTAGTCAATGACCTACAATACATAAAGTTCTTCATGCAGACCTTCGTTTTCCTTTTTTTTTTTTTAAGCCCTATTTAATTCTTATAGACAGGTACTAAAACCTCTCCTTCTGAAATATTGTGTCCTATTACACCTGTACCAGCAGACACTTCACTTATTCATGAAAGGGCAGAAAAGATAAGTGCAAAGCATTCAAGGGATGTGTCTCAGGGTACCCTAAACAGCAAAGGTGCTGGTGAGCCATGACATGTTTGAGTGTCTTACTGCTCATGTGAAAGGGGAGTTTACACAGTTATTTTCAGAATGTAAAGTGGCTGAGCAAATTGTTTTCCCATTCTCCTGCAAAAAATAAGCTCACCACCCTAACCCATATGTGAATACCTAATGTTGAGCTTAACAGCTCAAATAAATAAGATGGAAGAGTGGAATTTACAGAAGAAAGGAGAAATGACCCACATATATCCTCAGGAGAGGCTCTGAAGTGCAGAAACAGGAAGTGAGGGCTAGGGTAGAGATTGTATACACAGGAGTGTGTCTTGTACTTCTTCCCAGGCATGACTGGATTGTTCTTTTGAGTAGAAGGATGGTTTCCAGGGGCTAGGGGTTGGGGGGAATGGGGAAAAGTTGGTCAAAGGGTGCATACTTTCTGTGATAGGATGAACAAGTCCTGGGGATGTAATGTACAGTGTGGGTGGCAATGGATGTGTTTATTAATTGGAATGTGACAACCATTACATATAGCATATAGCAAATCATAATGCTGCATACCTTGAATACATACCAATTTTATTCATCATTTACATATTTTAAAATAAACATAAAATACCCACCTTCATTCTCTCATTTGATTAGTTACTGGCTGGCCTCTGTGTCTCAGGTGGTGCAGGTTACTAGCATGTGTCAAAGGCAATAGAGAGGAACCATATGGCCTTCCTTCTCTTCCTGGGAGTGGGCACTTTTTAGTAACAGCCAAATGAGCCAGGGTGAAACTCTAGCCTGCTGTGTAAAGTTAGAGGCCAGTGCCTTTATACTCAGTATGGACAAATAATGCTTAATGAATGCAGGTTTTCCTGGCTACTTTTAATGAATGTGATGTTACAAGCAGTAGGAGATGACTATTGAGAAATGGGATCCCCAGGAAGCTTTCCAACTAACAGAGACTATTACAGACCCAAGAGTAAGCCTCCACTTCCACCTCAAGTTTCCAAATGAAATAGCACATCAAGTGAACAAAAAACTGGTTTCTCAGACCCAGCAGGGCTGAGGTGACCCATGTCGAAAGTCCCTTTAGAATGGCACAGCGCTGTCATGATTGCAATTTTCTCAGCTTGACTGCATTTTATGCCACAGCTACGTTTGCTGCAGTTGATCCCCACAGAGCAAATTAAGCATGTTTTTAATAGGCAAAACAGAGAATGTTAGGAATTGCTCCAGATCACTGACCCTTGTGTTTATATGTGTACATGACTAGAAATCAGATAGCTTTTAAAAAGCTTGTTAACTAATTAAACAGAATGATTTCTTTGAAATGTCATTTATTAGTAAGCCATAATTTGCTGTTGCAGCATTTGAAATAATTATTTTATTTTTGAATGCTCATAGACCTGCTAGAACATTTTAAAATGAAGAAAAGTTTTATCTTTGTAAAGAGAGGGTTTTGAATATCAAGGTAGAGAGAGGTGGGAACAAACTATGAAATTAATCATAAAAGTTATTTCACTATAAAAATGAGTGCTGAATTATAACGTATAACAAGAACACATTTTGTTCATCAAAATCACACCACCATTCAAAAATTGGCAAAACAGAATTGTCACATCCAACTTTCCTGCTAACATTACTTTTACGGTTGCTAATTGTTAAGCGACTGTGGAACCCACCAATGGCAGTGGGCTGTCTCCACAGTGTTATTGGGGGTCAGCCTCAAAGGGCAGAAAGGGAGCAGCTGCCAGTACCACACTACAGACACACCCTGAATGGGCCAACAGCACCTGCCTCACCCCGTGGCAGGATATGGACAGTCGTTCTCCACGGATGTGGAGGTTCACCCACCTGCCAGACCAGGTGCTCCTTGGTCCCCGGCGTCGCAGACAGGCAGACGCTAAGCACGATGGTGTGGGAGGAGGAGGTGAGGACACTGGCAATGATGGCATCTCGCATGTTGAAGGGCAGCATAGTGTACACCACGAAGATGATGAAGAGGAAGAACGATACCTAAGGGAAGGGGAGAAGAACATTGAGAGTCACCAAATATTCTGGCTTCTAGGAGCCTCCAGTTTCCATCCCATTAAAGGCTGCATAGAACAGCACGAGAAATGCTCATTTAAGAAATAATCTGTGAACAAAACAGGGTAGTCTATGCAAGTAAGTTCACTGGATTACAATATCAAACTAATCATTGTGATGGAGAAAAGCTTCTTTTCAAAATTTTGGGACTTGACTTTGGTATCCAAACCATTGCATGAGTATGGATGCAAAGCTGATCCTAAACTATCAGGGTTTTGTATCTGTGCTTTAGAACATGTGTAGAGGGTTCTTGAGGTGGTCTTCCAAGCTGCAAAAGGGGACCCATGGAGGAGGGACAGGTGTCATCAGGGGAAAGCAGATGCTGAGAGCACGGGTATGTAACAAACAAAATAAACCAGGCTGCGGATGGCTTAGCTGCTGTGGAACTCAGTGTGGCAATTCCTCAAGCACTTAAACATACACAGCAGTTTTACTCTTGTGTATATACCCAAAAGAATTGAAACCAGGCACTCAAACAGACACATGTACGCCCATTTCATAACAGCATTTTCCAAGTAACCCAAGGTGGAAACAGAAATCATCACAAGGTGAATAAACATCAGGATATTATTCAGCCTTAACAGGGAATACTTTCCTACCATGCAGAGGAACCTCAAAAACGTTAAGTGAACAAAATCTGGGCAAAACACCTCCCAGTATATGATTCCATTTACGTGAAATAGCCAGAATAAGCAAACCCATAGAGGTGGAAAGTACATCGGATGTTGCCAGGCTCTGGGGGGCAGGGACTGGGCGGGGAATGGAGAGTAGCTGCTGACTAGGTGCAGATCATGAAAAATTCTCTGAAACTAGATGAGGTGTTGGTTGCACGACATTGAGAATGTCACCTTAAATTGGGTAATTTATGTTGTGTGAATTCCAGCTCCATCAAAACAATCCACATGAAACCTCTCAGAGAAACGTTTGGCATGAAAAAGTAAATGATTTAGTAGGTAATAAAGTAAATCATTCTTATTACAAACAAGCAGAGACAGAAGAACATCAAAAAGGATGAAGGGTGAACCATCCAGTTGGAAGGGACTGAGGTCAGCAAAATGGGGGGGGAGGGGCATGTGGCCAGCTTCCCAGGCAGCTCTTGACTCCAAGTCGAAGGGAAGCTAAGGGAAGTGTGCCCCACTTTCACAGTGTGACCTGTCACCTGAAGGGGATGCTCAAGCGCTGCACAGCTGGAGGAACATCGTGCAGTCATGCCAGCACTTCTGGTACGGAGTCTGGATGTGAGCTCATGAGAAGCATGTGGGCAATGGGCTGTGCTCCCAACGGATTAAAGAGGGGGAAGCCTGGGAGAACACCAGGCTTCTTCCCTCCTGGGAACCTGCACCATGTATTACAACCTGAAAAGAACCATCTGTCACCACTTCACTATTCCAGGGTGGTGCCTGATCAGCTGTATTTGCGTAATTGTCATACACAAAAGAGCACAGGAGAGATTAAGGAGACATAGCCTAAACATAAATACGGTCCTGAAAAGGCACTCTTTGATTTGGCACTCCAAGCTTTTTGGAGCAAGCTTGCTGAGTAAATGCTAGTTCAGGTAATCTGATCTGAACATTCATTCTGCAAGCCTGGGTGAAGCTCCTGCAGATGCAGACAGGTTCTAGAGGTGGAGGGTGCAGGACAGAGCCCAGGCTCTCACGGGCCAGCAGAAGAGATGGTCATGCATGTCACTGTCATCTCACAGTCTGCGTCTGGAGAGAAAGGCACCAGGCCTCACTGTGAGGAGATGACGGGGTGGACTCTGAACCACCTTCTCTAATTCTTGTGAGTCCAGCCATCTTGGGATGACGGCCAAGGAGAAACCCACTGTGAGCGGGAAAAATGACCCGGAATCCTCATCGGGAAGCCCAGATTGGGCATGGACCATCTGCTTCATGCCCCCATCTCCTCCCATTCAATCTATATTTAAAAGGGCCCTCAGGCCAAAAACTGTGGGGGAACACATTGCCATAGCAATATTTTTTTTCTGGTAAATATTTTTTCTTTCACCTCTTTAAAAATAAAGACTCTGAAGGTTTTTTCAGCAAAGCATTATTATTTAGAATCATATGCATTCCACTTGTTCCATTCCATATTTGGGATATGAAACCAAGGCAAAAACTATTGTCTTAGATCATTTGTGTATAAAAATGCAAAGACATCAGGAATGCCTTTGGAGGGACATGTAGTAAGCAGTGCTCTATCTACACAGGCAGGCTGGGGCACCTCCCTCACTTCAGCTTCCCAAGAAAGGAACATTGCAGAAGGAGTTATAGCCCCAAAGTCATCTTCCAAAACCACAAATAGCTAGCACCAGCACTCACTGGGTGCTTGCTGTACAGATCCCTTCCCAGGTCTCCAGAGAATCTGGCTGAGAACCACTGAGAAAGGTTTCTTTAGGCATGGTAAAATCAAATGTTGTGCACTTATTGCTTATTGGGCAAATGCAATTTACTTTGGAATCTCTGTATTGCCCTCTCAATGCACAGAAAGTCTGTTTAATGAAGATACTGTTTTTTCTACACATAACATTTACGTAAAATTGTATATCCCATACCAGATATTAAATGAATAACTTCAGGTACCAGAATTGACAACTACAAAAAAGATCCTCTCTTTTATGATTACATATTTGCTTCTAATGCAAAGACCTTTAACATTGCTTTAAAATTATCATAACTTTCGTGTAGCTTAATTTCGGATAACTTTAAAATTCTAATACCATCTCCATTAAATTAAAGTACACTTCTGCAAACATTTTGAGCCTTAAAATGGAAGTCTGTGGAAGGCTTATCCACAATAACCAAATGGAAAATAGATCTCCAGTTTTCTGAATACAGAAGCCCCTGTTTGGTATTCATTATGAGATGGCAAAATTAATTTTCAAGGGTCAACTGTGCAAATTGCATTAAATCAAAGCAGAGGTTTCCGTGTTAGCATTTCAGGAGTTGTGCTAGTGGTGCCTGGGGAGTGTTCAGCAGGCGGGACAGGGAGGAAGAAAGTCAACTGCAATTTCAAGTCCCATGGGGAGGATGTTCTTCACTCCTTATTAACACCAAAGAGTTCTCATTTTTTTAAGCCTGCTTTCCAATGCAACTTCAAATAGGGCCATATGTAAAACTAAAATGGATTTGGCACATGTAAAGAATGTGTGGGTAAAATTCTCCAGAAAGTTGAATGCTATCTCTTGGGTTGCCATGTTACCATGGGGACATTTCCATGGCTGAGAGTCCCCTTAGATGTGCCTCTGTCCAGAGGCTAAAGAGGAAGGAGCCATGGCTCTGATTCCCATGATCCTGCCCAGAAACCCCAAGTTTGCACAATAGTTGAAGCATCAGCACTCATTCCAATAAAACAGCTTCAAGTCTGTCTCTTAACTCCAGCTCTGCAGTTGCCTTTTGCAAGACATGCCTATCTTCCTACACATCTTCTACTTGCATCTCAAGCTCCATAAGTTTCAAATCAACCAAAAGCTTATGTTCTTAAACCTGTTTCTCTTGTAGGATAACTCAAGTCTGCCCATGACGTCTCTGTCTCCAATAACCCAGGTGCAAGTCCTTGAAAGTCACCTTTGAAAATTCTCTCCTCACACCCACATTCAAAAACAGGGTCTTCTCATTTTAAGATTCCAAACCATAGGTTGTCTCAGTCTGTCTGCTTCTCTACGTCCTGCTCTCACTGAGCTGGTTCCTGGCATTTCTGTTTGTTAGGAAATACGATTCTATACTCTTTCCCTCTTTGTCCTGCTGCCAAACAAGGGAAACAGAGTTTGTACCCTTCCTCCTTCATGTCCACTTCATGCCTTTTTCCAAACCTTGGGTAACCATCAGGACTCTTTACTAACTGTTGCTTTCTTCCTTCTGGGCATGTAGTATAATTGCATTTCACCATTGTCATTTCAGTTGGGTGAGGGGCTAGTGGAAACTTTAAAAGCTCATGTACAACTGGCCATGTCCTCTTCCATCCCTGGCAACCATGGAAACATGGAGCTGAAGCTTCTCCCAGTCTGGGTCCCCACATGAGCAGTACAGTTTCTCAGCTGACCCACACACACCTACGTTCATGTGAGTGGTTGACAAACCTTTGTGACATTAAGCCCTGAAATCCTAAGCACAGTTCAGCTGGTCTTGACTGATACCAAGGTTATAGAAACACACATACACACGCACTCATGGGAGGTCTTATTGATGTCATATTTATAAAATTTGTGTGCCTTTATATATAATACTCTGCAATTTGCATTTTTTTTCAGTTGACTGTATATCATGGGCATCTTTCCTGGTCTATAATCACAAACATATTATTTACTTTTTACTAACTGCAAAATATTCCATGGCAGTGGGTGCACCATCATTGACTCTATTTCCCCACCGATGCTTTCACTCCTGGCAGGATGGGCACCCTTGTCTAACTGCTGCAGTAACGCTCCTTCAGTTCTTCCTTGTTCCAACATCATCCTTTCTTTAATTCAGCTAGCATTATACTGCCAGATTCATGATTCTGAATACACAAGTCTAATGTGTTTCTTTCTTGGATGAAAACCCCCTGTAGCTTACCCCAGACCACCTGCACTAAATGGAAAATCCTCCCCAGCCTCCACCTGCACCCTCTAGTCCTTTTCATTGGCTTTACTTATTCAGAGCATTTATAGTCCCCATTTATTTGTTAATTTTCTCCCCTGACATGGTAAGCACAAAACCAGGAACTTGATTCATTCATAGCCAAGACCCCAATGCCCAGGACAGTACCTCATATATGGTAGATGCTTCACGAATATTTGCTGTCTGCAGGAAAAACTATTATACATCCTAATGTGACCCAAGCCATAACTGCCTCATTAGCATCTATTCACCAAATGCATCTCTAAAAACATTCCAACATCCTTCTTGGTCCAACTGGACTTGCCATTAGCTATAGACATGTTAATTTTC